GATGGTTTTAGTTTACGTTTACGAACATTTCTTCTTGATTTTTTGTGGTTAAAATAGTGAAATAGTGGAATACTTAAACCAGGGTGGTTCATCTGGTTTCATGTCAAACCGTGAAAAATGAAGCATAAAAATGGTATTACCTTGCAATTGCATTCCTGCTACACCTTCCGTAACTTTACAATAGTGCAGAGAAGGCGGGGTACTAATTCTACACAACAACTAACTCTCGCCCGAGTACCATATAATTCACGGATTAGAGACACCCTACTACTCCCACCCAACACATCCATCCTTTCCAGTTGCTTATCTGTTAGCTTATGAATTATTGCATGTATTCTTTCTTTTATGACGACTTTCATTGTCGTTGCTCTTTTGCTTTCACCTGCAAGTCCCTATTCAAATGTTGTTGATGTTTTACTAAATTTAGTTTCGTTTTCCTACTCACTGCCCAATTGTAATTGCCTCTATACTAACATGTTATTCTGTATTGGTGGTAGAAATGAATCTTTTCAGTTCGCATATATTCATTGTTCTGGAAGGATTAAATTGTATGTAAGTGCTACAATTCTTCAATTTTGGTTTCTATATTTACTTTCCAAATTTCACTACCAATATAGTATCCATGGTTAATATGCCAAGATTCTTATTTTAGAACGAGCTAATCTATGTTTCTTTAATCACACACTCACGCATCAAGATTGAGCTTATTACATATTTTGTGAGTTATTATGATATCCATTGTGAAACAAAAATATTTGTTTCACTGTTGTTTTAATTAGAGGTTAGTCAAGATACAATCCAAGTTGGTATCCAATCTCACAACTTAATAGAGGAGATGGATTCTTTAATGCCAGGTTTCGAGGAAGTGGTTGTCAATCAATCCCAAGATGAATATTATTTTTAGCCTCAATATGATAGTTATTGACTCAAAGCGTAAACTAACAACAACCACGCGAATTCAACTCTATGATTCAAATTTGAAAATTTATTAATACTCATACTTTTTTCTTGATGATAATGATATTTGGGTGCAAATTTTCAAAGGATAAATCAAGGACTTTCATCTCCTATTATATTATCAGAGAGTTTACACTATCAAGAATTTGTGGTTAGCATGACAATGGGAGATTATAGGGCAATTCTAAACAATTTGGTCAATAAGTTTGAATCAAATATAGAAGCTGAAGCATGAAATGATATTCCAGCCATACCATCTTACAAATTTTATTTCATCTAATAAGATGAGGACAAGAATGCAACCAAAGAAAATTTATTTCGGGTTCGAATTATTATTCTCAATTCAAATTTACCTCAATCTAATGTGTATACAGCCAAAAACATTAATTAACTTCTTAAAATTTTCATTCCATGTATGTTGTTGGCCTTCTTATTCAGTATTCGGGTTTATTGACATCTAACACTCACCGAAAAAATTAACAGCAAGGAGGCTCCAATTAAGTATGTAATTCTTTTATTTTCACTTTAAAATAATATGCAGTACTTTAACTCTGATCACAAATATACTATACAATTTGGGTGCAGAGGATTGGTTGTCAAGATAACTCTCTTCGATAGGATAGCTACCAAATATTATACGTTTTTATTTTTGTTTATGTTATTACTAACATTATACTTATTCAGGATCCACCTTCGAGTTGTGGACAAAACCACTAAGGCTAACTTTGTTGTTATGATATATCAAGTGGGAGATGGATTTTTTGAAATGTCAATTGAAAGGCTATTCCAAGACAACGATAGAGTGAGAGGATTACCACCTGTTCATCTCCTACAAGTTGAGGGAATGACCCCCGAACCATATTGTACTAGCAACCCTCGAAAAAATCCAGGAAGTCGCTTACCAGTCAAAATCTACTCCACATTTTTTGTAAAAAATCCCGAGAAGAAGTAAATAAAATTGTATATTCTTTTTCGACATCACATATTGTACTTTGATATCAAGCTCACATAATACATAACTAATCAACAAGTGAGTACACGATTTCTAGGATAGCGAAGGATCAGAAGAGTAGAGCTCAGACTGTCTTCCTGACTTGATCGAGGTAAATTGTACTTACATGAAAATGATAATCAATATTAATTACAAAATTATGATATTCACTATTGGATTTGGAGTATATTCTGAACATGCACCCTCTGATTATTATTTAACTAAACAGCTTACCATGTCTGCTTCTCACGTGTTGGTTTTGTGATGCACTTAATTGCATTTATCATCCATAAATAAATTGCTATCAGCGGTATGCCATGTGTAAACTATACTTAGTTATATAATCAAGTATATAGCTCTTCAATATTTATATCATGTACCGAGTAGTTGTATTGTTTAACTTAGACAAATGCATTTAATTTAATAACTTAAAACTCGAGAGGAACTTTCATTTATTACCCACTAGCATGCATGCAATTGTATACTTGGTTGTATTATCAAGTGTATATGTCTTCAATTTTTATACCATGCACAAATATATGCCTCCAATTTTTAAACGTGCACAAATGACACTTGGTTGTATTCTTAAATCTATAAGCAAATGCAGGTCGTTTATAACATAAAGCTCCAGTGGAACTTTGCTTCCTTTGACACTAGCATGCAAGCAATTTTATCCGGCTACAAGTTTTACTCCAATATATTTTAAATACCTATGATTCTAGAAAATTACACTATATGTTGTGCTTTTGAATGTAGAAGATCTTAATTCATAATACTAATGCAAGAGAACAAGAATGAGACCACTAATGGTGGATGTATTAGATCCGGTGCTAGAGATGACGATGATCTTGAGAAGAAGAAAGATACTGTTCGTGAGAAAGATACAAGTACCAATGATGAGGAGAAAGAACGAATCCTTGATATTGTCTATAACTTGGACGAGGTAAATTCTACTCCAATGAAAAAGATGATTGGTATTTGTAAATAGTTTCCATCAAATTTTTGTGCTCATTCGAAAGCAAGAAAACTAGGAAGAGAATATTGAAATGCAAGAGAAGAAAGAAGAGGCAATTAATAATGGAGATGGAGACAAAATAATTGGTGCAGATGATGATGCTACTCATGACGGTGAAATGCAAACAAGTCAAAAAGTAAATATGGAGTAATCTTTAATGATGAGGAGAAAATAAAAGGGTGATTCTAAAATGTCTTTAGGAGTCGGTCCGGGTTTGTCTTTAATTTTCGTGACAGGATTTAGTCGACGAGTCAGTTTTAATGTTGAAAAACACTATGATATTGATCATTTTGAATTGTTGAAGTACTTTAATAATTTGGATCCTCTTATACTAATCAATTTGAATGTTTCGAGTATTTGAATAATTTATATTTTCTTATACTATCAATACCCACGTATCTAACATACAATTTGATAATGTTGTTTACGTAATTGGCAACGGAATCCGGCCAACTGGCCGGCCCCGCCACTAGTATGTATAGAATTAGAAGCCTCGCTGCTTGAATTATGTGCCGTCGACGCGCGCTCGACCGAGAGTATAAACTCACGCTCCGCTCCGCTGCTGGCTATTTACAATTTTACATCCTCGAGAGCACGTGTCAACGCGTCAGACTGAGCTGGTTCAGAATCCACGTGGCAAGTTCCTACAGGTAAATAATCATTGAATCCTAGCCATCCGCTGCCTCCGCCGGAAGGCCGACTTTGCCTCTGTATGACCGTTCGTGGAAGTTAAGAGAGAGGGGGAGAAGAAGAAGAAATTGTAAGGAATGGAATGAAAACCGAAGTCTTTTTTGCTTCTTTTGTTTTTATATAGACAGCTTAGATAGAGAGAAGGGGAAAAAACCCCAGAATAACACACAGACAACTTTCATTCTGTAGAGAGAGAGAGAGAGAGAGAGAGGGAGGAAAGGAGAGAGGGGGAAGCTCTCCCTTTTAGTCCTCAAGGCTTCACAAGGTACTGCGGCCTACCCATATGGATTCTTGTTGGAAAAATCGAATCTTTTCCCCTTTATTGGAATTGCATCTTCTTCTACTGTTGCTGTTGATCTCGATTCTGTTTCCCTTTTGTTCTTACGCGTTGAGAGCTTTCTGTTACGGCTCCCTGTTTCCGTTTTCATGGTTGGAACTGTTTAACTGTCATTTCAGTAGCCCTTTTGTTGTCTAGGGTTTTTTAGATTGAGGGTTTTTGGATGGGATTAGGCTTTCTTTCTGGGTTCTGGAGGGCTGTTTAGTTCTTAGTTGTAATTGGGTTGTCTTTCTTTATTCTTCTAATTGTGTGGCTCTGAATTTGACAGCCTGGGAACTGTTGACTTCTGTTCCTTTTTTCTGTTCATTTGAGGAGCTGGGTTTCTGTTTTTTGGTTAACGATTGGCTTAGATATGAATCTTTCGTTTCCTCTCTCTCTATCTATTGTGCCTTTATTTCGATCTTGTTCTGTTAAAATGGTCATTGTCTTCAAAGATCATTGGATACTGCTCTTCTGTAGGCAAGTAGGAAGACTTTTCATTGCCTACCTGTTTGTTCTTGTGATTCCATTGTATTTCAGAGGGAAAGAGTACATGTTGACCGAATTGTCTAGCTGCTGTGTCCTCAACTTCATGCAAGAAATAGTCTTTCTGAGTTTATTGACTTTGTAATAAGCTGGACAATTAGAGGTCTGGTTTTGTTTCAGTTGACAGTAAAACTCTGTTGGTTTCTGCTGCAAAGCTTATCATTACCAGTTCCTTGTTTGGCGTGTTAAAAAAGTAGACCAGGTTGGATCATGCTCTTTTTATTTGACTTGTTTTATTTGGAGTCCACTTGATTTCTCCGTGATCTTGCTAATGAAAAGTCCTTGACATACTTGGAGGATTTCATTGGAGCACCGTATTTGCTAATTGAATTGTGCTTAGATGTTTGATATGTTGCCCCCTCTGATAATTTCTCTCTCTGGGATATGATAGTCTCTGCAGGTGCTTTGATTGCTAAAGGGGGAGACATTGCTTTCAAATTGATGTGTCAAATCTAAGACTGGCAAATATAATCAGAACAGATCAAATGCCATCGTTGAAAATGAAGACAAAACTAAGTGGGGGCTCTTTAGGGGAAAGAAGTCTTGGTGTGTGTCAGACGTCCAGTGTTATATGCAAGAAATCATGCGCTAATGTCCACACGGTTTCTCCTTTATCAGAGGCTGATCTTTGTATTCAGAAATGTCAAGATGATTGCGGTGAGTATTATCCATTCTTGAAGAACACTAGGTTTTGTCATCCTTGGTTCATAGCTATAACATGTTTGCTGAATTAGCTCCAAAACTGTTCTTTGGGATGGCTTAGCCTCGCAGCTAGGTTATGTTTTACTTGTCCATACAGCTTGTCTTTTTATGGTTCAAAGATATGAGCATCAAACTAACAATGTGTTATTCCCTCAGTGCGGTCTGAGCCACAAAATAATAGTGTCTTCAAATTCCAATTATTTTGGGGAATTTGCTTTAGATGTTTGGTAGGCCTTATTTCTTACTAATGCTCCATATGTGATACTGATGGACTTTTTTTATACCTGTGTGGCTGTGTTGTGTTATTTTTTTTCCTTCTCCAGTTTCATCGAGTGAGGACATGCATTCTCCGGAAACCGATGGTGTTGAAGTCCCTGATCAGCAAAAACTGTCACATCATGGGAACTCCCATTTTCAGACATATGATTCTAGTATAGATTCTGGAACCATTGTGAAGATGGTAAGACTTCTGCATGGTACTTGTCATAGAATGTTTTTCTTTCCTTCTTGTCCGTGTCATCTATTAGCTATTGTGCTGTTCAAATTTTGGGGTGCAAGTGACTTTATATGGTTTGAGTGCGTTTTCAACCTTATGTTGATGTGTATTGTATTGTGTGTTTTTTACGTGTCTCCCATGTCTGAAATTGATAATATTTCTAGTAGTAGTTCATCTTACCTAATCAGGCTAGTTGTGCAGCTGCATGGTTTACTCTTTAGCTCTTTGTTTGGACTAGGGTTTGAAGATAACTGTCAACTTTTCTTTTTAGGCTAATATAGAATTATTGGTACGGATTTTTGCACAGCAAGTTATTATGCGTTTAAAACTTTAAATTCTGCCATGCTGGCCAGGTACTTGTTTTAACTGCTTCAGATAGTGTTGTTTTCGATGTTCTCGTATCCCAATCAGTTTCTGGAACATGTTAGTGGCCCTTTCCTTTTGTTTCTGAGATTGATTGCTTTAGTTACTAATTTCTTGTAATGTGCTGAACTATAGGATTCTACACATAGCTGCACAGCTGACTTGGAAACCATTTTTTCCCCGGCTTTGGAACCCATTTGTATATACAACATGCCCAACATAGACGAGAATCCAGGTATGCTAAAACATTACATTACTTAAACATACAACTTCTAGTTGCTAGCTGGAGCACTCACAAGTGTTGCACATGATATCTGTTGCACCCTTTTGCATGAAGTCTATTGTCTGTTTCTGACTTGATCAGATGCTTTGAACCCGAATCTATGAAGGACAATGAGCCACTTAATTCTTTGTACGAAGTCCTACTTTATGCTAATTGACTATCTTGTAATACATTTGGCAGGAGGCAAAAGTAATCTTATCTTCTCAGGGTTGGGAATTGATGGAAGGGATAGTCATATAAGATTATCTGATTATCAGAGCTGCAACATCTCAGATTTCTCTATCTCCGAAATGATTATCTCTAACCTACCATATGATGGGAATGCAATAGATAGTCATCTCTATGAGAGTGAAGCTTTTCCTGATTACAGATGTGCTGAGCCAAGTATGTTGTTTGATATGGCTCAGGAGTGCTTGATACTCCCTTTTCTTGAGGATACTGCCAAATTGACAAATTCCAATGATCTGAAATCAGGTGAAGAGGCCATTGAAGGTGGTCCAGATGATGCTGACTTATATACAGCTATCAGTCAGATAAGAACCTATAACCAGGAATGTGATCCTATCGCCAACTCTGATCAGGCAGATGATTTTGATCCCCAGTTCTTTATCAGAACTCTACCTGAATTATCAGAAGTTGTATCAAATTTTCAAACAAGCATGTTCCCGAAAGATACTCAAAGGAGGAAGTCAATAACATTAGTACTCGACTTGGATGGTAAAACATTTATGCACTTTACTATAGCTGGGGGTTTTCGTTTTTGCATATCTCAGGTAGAATAGTTTCTGCAATTAAATATCTCAGGAGTAGTAAGTGCTGAAATTCTGTTTTTGTGACCAGAAACACTTGTTCACTCTACATTGGAACATTGTGTGGATGCCGACTTCACTTTCACCGTGTTCTTCAACATGAAAGAGCACACTGTATTTGTGAAGAAGAGGCCTCACCTACATACGTTCCTGGAGACAGTTGCTGAGATGTTTGAGATTGTCGTCTTTACTGCAAGCCAAAGCATATATGCAGAACAACTTTTGGACATACTGGATGCTGAAAAGAAACTCATATCTCGCCGGATTTATCGGGAGTCATGCATATTTTCAGATGGCACCTATACGAAAGATTTGACAGTGTTAGGTGTTGATCTTGCCAAAATTGCCATAATTGATAATTCTCCACAGGTACGGTGACCATACATACTAGATAGTTCTTATTTTACATATCTTCAAGTCACTCTGCATATAAGTCTGGTCATATATCTAAACTTTTGCACGATAAATTGGTCTACTGTCTATGTACTTGTAGCTTAGCTTTGACATGTTAAGCTCCTGAAAAGCAGATTTGAGATGCTTTAAACACTTGGGAAGCAGCATAAGAGGATATTGTTTACATAACTGATGGATAACATTAATAAATAGAATCGAGTGACTTGGATGTGCACAGAAGATCAAGACATGCGTTTCTGCTTCTCCCCATAAGAAGTGTACTTAAAGACATATAAAAAAAACAAGCTTACCATTGTATTCCAATCCTGATTAAGTGTTGCTTTCCTTGAATGATTTCAGGTTTTCAGGTTGCAAGTAAATAATGGGATTCCTATTAAGAGTTGGTTTAGTGATTCTTCAGATCGTGCTTTACTATCATTACTGCCCTTCTTAGAGACCTTGGCTGATGCTGATGATGTCCGCCCAATAATTGCAAGGAGATTCGGTAACAAGGAATAAGAGTTATCTTTCCTTAATAGCTTGGATATTGTGCATTACCCTTAGTTTCTCTTCTTTCCATCAAATTGGGTCTCTAATATTAGATGGTCAATCTCTTCTCTTTCTAGTATTTTCAAATAAGTAACTATAGAATAGGATAGAGTTTGTTTTGTTGTCGATCCAGCCTTGCTTGTTTCTTCTCTTTCTTTGGGCCAACAGGTCCTTTCAGGTAATCATCGTCTAGTTCTTCAAAAGGCAGTCGTAGGGACTATCCTGTTTTGTTGTACAGTTCAAGTTTCAATTTATAGAGAAGGTGTACATAAACATTCACGTCAAAGAAAAGTTCCCTGCTTTGCGCTCTCTTAGTTGGTGGTGGCCTACAATTCTATATCGAGGTCTCCGTTGCTTCTTTTTAGTTGTATGATAGTTGATTTACATTGAGGCCAGTTAAGTCTTAGAACTTCAATACTAGCAAAATAGCATGATTCCCTCTATGGGGATGTACTAGCATGATTCCCTCTATGGGGATGTATAGCAGCAATCAATAACCCGGTTGAGTGTAGTAGTTCATGAACCTACAAACTGTTAAGATGGTCGGGGTGCTTTGTCTTGCTGCCATTTGCATCTACATTTGGAATATGAGTTAGCTTTCTTAACATGGATGATAAATTGCTCAAAACATAGAATTTTGACTTCTTCTAAAAAAATTATGCTAAAGGTGTTTGCTGAACAAAGAAGTTCTCTATGATTTGCTTTTGAAATGGGGGGGATTCTAAGAACTTGTTAGTGATGAAATTATTACTGAGATAGCGTCTTTTCCCCCTTCCCTTTTTTACACTTTGGCTGCGTAATGGTGCCTTCTCTGCAGGTGTTGTGAGGAATGGCTTTATGTGTAGGTACGCAGTGTTTCATATTTGTTTTACCAGTGCCCTTTTTTGTTAAAGATCTCAACTTTGTCTGTCTGTACAAATATTATCTGTTTTTGGAACAACAGATTGTTTCGCCTAACATGTCTCTTTTTTCTTGAATTTCTCGTTTAATTGCGTCAGGGTATTCTATAGCATGTTCTGTTCTACAGGACCATTTTTCACAGGGAGTTTCAATACACATTTGTAATAATTTTTCCCATAATGCCATACGGTCGCTTTTGTTCTAGTCGAGTTGTGGCCTGACCTGTATATTCCACTGTTCAATGATGTAGCAGCAGTAGTTAAAAAGAGTGATAACATCCAGCAGCCTGGGCGATGTTGCTCAGTTGCTGTGCGAATTTTACTAGTTTGTCCTGGCTTTTACCCCGAACTGACTCGTTTTCGACAATTTTGTAGAAACATTGTGTTTTAGCAATTGTCGTATGCTTCTTAAGGCTGTTTTGTTCTTTCAGTACGATAAATGTTCGTTTCGGATTGCATGAAGGTTGCGCTGTGCAGTCGGCTTGTTATCAACCATTGATTGTGAAGTTGTCTTCCACTTGTAATTGCTCTGTTATGATGATCCAACTGGAAGTAGACTGAGATCTTCCTATGGTGATACGTCCAATAGTTGTTGTTCAGTCTTCCCAGCAGCTGTGTGATCTGGTTTGCAAGTTAGATTATGTCAGATAGATAGGGGAATTCATCTTCTCCTGGCAGTAAGTAAGAGTCAAGGGTTGGGTGATTTGGTTAATCAAATTGCCCCAGGTGGCAAGATTCCAACTGGAATCTGAATCCTAGGTTCTTGCCAATGGGAAGCTGGGAGATGGGGTTTTCAGCAATAGGAAAATGATGTTCTAAATTGGACAAGTGAGTGAGAGAGGGAGGGTGAAAAATGATGTTCTCCATTCAATCTCCAATACATAAAATCTCACCCTTCCTCCCATTGTTGAAAGAACGAAGCTTTGAATTTAGCAATGGGTGAGATCGATAACACAACTTCTTAGCAGAAGCCATCTCGAGAACACCGTTAATAAGGTCGTATGAGTGAATTAATTGAATGAGGAAATAACTGAGTTATTTGAGGCCTCATTCCCCAGATGAGAGTGATTATGGGATGGGAGTAGAGGTGGCAAATGACATCCAAGACTTGGACCAAAATGTAAATTTTGCAAAGTTTAGGTACTAAATGTCATAATGAAAAATTTTAGGTACCAAAATGTAATTTTCCAATGATATTTTTCGTATAAAATATAAATTTTAGGTATCAAAATGTCAATTATAAAAAATATAGGTATCAAATCGTAATTTGCCTTTTGGATCCATGGATTGATCCATGAATCCACCAATCCAATTGGATTTGGATCAAATGGATTGGATTTAAATGGATCGGATTAGGTGGATAATTTGGTGGATGGATTGGATTAGATTCATGAATTTGGATCCTAATTGCCACCTCTAGATGTAGGGGTGGCTATACGGTCCGGTCCGGTTAAATTGGCCCAAATTGATCCGTTCCAGTCCGGTCTTTTTGAAAATATAAAGACCGAAGATTGGATTGGATACAGTCCGGTCTTGATCCGGTCCGGTTTTGATCCGATCCGGTCCCAATTCGGTCTTGATTTTACATTGAGATTGTGGGATTTGAGTGGCCTAAGGCCTTAAAGGGTGAGGAGTTGGTTAAGTTTTGTACTAAGTGCAAAGGTTTGTGACCGTTTATGCAAATTACCCTTAAGTTTTGGGTGTTGAGCTCTCTTATCCGGTCTTTATCCGGTTTTTTACCTCAAATCTAAGCCCAAAGATTGGATTGGATTGTTTACTATCCGGTCCCGATCCGGTCTCGATCCGGGTTATACGGTCCGGTTTCCGGTTTTTAATCCGGTCCCGGTCCAAATAGCCACCCCTATCTAGATGGGAGCTTTACCTGTGAATAACGTGTAGGGCTCACTTTTTGGTACGCAATTTTTCTCGCTCTCAATATCCAAATTTCTCTCTCATGTTTTTTTTCTCTTCTAGGTACGAAAATGACCTTAGCTAGCAAAACACACTTTGGGGTGAAATGAAGCAGTTCTTGTAAGAACCTCCAAATACGAGTAATCTTATTGAAAATCACCTTGATATTCACCCGAAGTCAAAAATTGTGGAAGTTTAGTTTCAAAGCGGACAATATCTTATCGGGAAAATGTTTGGAATGTTACAATGAACTTCAACAAGAATGAAGATAAGAACACCAAGGTCAAATATTACACCCATTCACATGTAGATTTAATCCGCACGTTTTAGTGATCGTTGATCCCAATTCCCAACCTAGTTGCCAAACACTTGTATCTTGATCATAAATCACAAAAACCTTTGATGTGCAGAAAGGCACAGAAGAAAACCAAACGAGTTTGATAATCAAAGTTCTTCCGTTTTCCCAATCTACTTGTTTAGTAATAAACACCCACGTGATCACTATTAGTCATTAAAAATCCGTCATCAAAATCAACATTTAAGCCCCGCATGCCCTTTACAGCTTCCTTAATCTCATTCCAATCCTAAGGATTAAAAACCGTCAGTCCGCCACCCCTATATAAAAACCCTACCAAATGATCCATCGCATCCCCACAGAACAAAGCAATACGATGAATATGGCTGCCGCTCCCATGAAGCTCGTAACTCCATTCCTCCTTCTCCTCCTCCTGGCCCTCCACCCTTCCTCATTCCCCACCGCCGCCGCAGCACGTGACCTCACGAACCTCCCCACCTCCACGCGGAGCTCCGCATCGTCCACGTCATCATCACCATCCACCTCCCTGGCGTCGCGGCTGAAGTACTCGGACGCGGCAGCGGCGGGGGGAGATGGAGAAGAGACGAGCAACTGCTGGGAGTCATTGACGGAGCTGCAGGCGTGTTCGGGGGAAATCATCCTCTTCTTCCTCAACGGCGAGACGTACCTCGGCCAAGGGTGCTGCCGTGCCATCCGCGTCATCGGCCGGCACTGCTGGCCCCACTTGATGGGGACCTTGGGCTTCACCGACGAGGAGAGCGACGTGCTCGAAGGGTACTGCGATCGTGCCGACGACGACGACGGCGATGGAGACGATGGAGAGGATGATGGTGGCGATGGGGGGTCTCCCGCTCCGCCGAATCATCACTCGCCGCCGGCATCGCCACGTCATGTGGTCGTCGTTCCTTGAGGATTTTCGCAATAGAGTTTGGGCTATTGTACGAAGAATAATCATGAGCATGTAATTATATGATGAAGAATAATTGGCTTTTGGAATGGACCCGGTGAATAAATTATAAAAATTCTCTCCGCTCTTAGTTTCTTTTATTTGGGGTTTGCTACTACTACGACTCTAATTATGTATGATTTGCGTTTGGGGATATGGCAAAATAAACTCGCGCATTCGTTGGTATATTATTCTATCCGACTTAACCTTATCAAAATGGATAAAATTAGTGTCGGACTAGCGCGTCTGCGCCATCTGTAAATAGGGCAACAGACATGTGTACTATTTTGTGAAGCAGGCCTGGAAACCGAGTTGTGAGTTACTGCAAGCCATGAAGGGATTCTTTGATGACTTGGTTAAATGGAATAAAGAGGTTTTTGACAACATCTTCAGGAGAAAGAAAGAGCTTCTCATGACACTCTCAAATCGTCGGAATTACTGAACGACAAGAAACCATCAAGAAGCTCCATGGACAAAGAGAAGAACACACGTGAGGAGCTGGAGGAATTCCTATAACATAAAGCGCTTCTATGGAGGCAGAAAGCAAGGGTTAATTGGACGGTTAAGGGTGATCTCAACACCCGATACTTTCATAATTGCACCCTTAGTAGAAGGAAAAGAAACAGAATCACCAGACTTAAGAATGATGAGGGAAATTGGATTGAGGATCCTGGCCAGCTTCAGGACATGGCCAAAGGACACTTTGTTAACCTGTTCACAAGTTCTGTCGCCATCACTGGAGTCCATATTTCTGCTTCTTTCCCTCAGGTGGATGATCTTGGGCTTAAGATGGTGGGAAAGATGCCCAGTACTACTGAAATCAAAGCCATTGTTATGAGATGAATGGACTCAAAGCCCCGGGGAAAGATGAGTTTCATGCATTGTTCTATAAAAAATGCTGGAACGTGGTGGGCATGGAGTTTTCTTTGTTTGTCATGAACTGTTTCAGGAACCCCTGCAGCATTCAAAGCATTAATGAAACTCTTCTTGCCCTCATTCCTAAAGTGGACTCTCCTTCTTCCATGAGCCACTTCAAACCCATCAGCCTTTGTAATGTGGGTTACAAAGTGGTTGCTAAGAGCATTGCCAACAATATGAAGAGACTGATGCCTAAACTGGTCCACCCCAACCAATCAAGCTTTTTCCCTAAACGTCGCATTACTGATTACATTATTATCTTGCAGGAAACTGCACTCTATGTCTAGAAAGACATGGAAGAAAGGAAGCATGCTTCTCAAAGTCGATCTTGCAAAAGCCTATGACAGAATTGATTGGAAGTTCCTTGAGGAAACACTGATTGCTGATCATCTCCCTGCTGATTGCATCAGGCTGATCATGTCCTGTGTCACAACAACCTCCTTCCAAGTTCTGTGGAATGGTGGAGAAACAGAAAGCTTCATTCCCTCTAGAGGACTAAGACAGAGATGTCCTCTTTCCCCTTACCTCTTTACTTTGTGCATTGAACGGCTTAGCCATTTCATTATGAAGGAAGTTAGTGATGGAAATTGGAAACCTGTTTGTCTGTCTCCTGGTGGCCCTGCCCTTTCCCACCTTTTCTTTGATGAACTTGGTGCTTTTCTCTAAGGGGTCGTTTGGATGGATCAATTGTAAAACGAGACAATTTGACCAATTGTTTCATTTTACAAAACGAGTCATTTAAAACGAGTCAATTCAGATTACCTGCCCCCACCCCAGACAATTGTAATTGGCTCAAAATGAGTCAATTCAGAATTCCCCAGCCCAAATTGCTTCATCCAAATTTTCTGCTGCCAAACGGATCAATCTAGCACAATTGACTCAAAACGAGACAATTGTGTTAGATTGATCAATTAGAATTCCTCATCCAAACGACCCCTAAAGCTAGTCTGTCTCAAGCTGATACTGTTATGAAATGCATAGAATCATTTTGTCTTGCCTCGGGTGAAATGATTAGTAAAGAGAAGTCTCGAACCTTTTTTCTCTAAGAATGTTAAACTTGTTGACATACACAACATCTGTAACCGCCTTGGTATCCAAGAAACCTTTGACCTTGGACGTTATCTTGGTGTGCCTGTGATCCATGGCAGGCTACCAAGAATACCTATAGGTACATTTTGGATAGAATGGACCAAAAGCTGTCTTCCTGGAAAGCCAGAACCCTCTCCTTGGTAGGAAGGGTCACTCTTGCTTCCTCTGTGCTTAATGTCATTCCCACTTATGCAATGCAAACGACACTCATTCATGTTTCTGTGTGTGATGAAATTGATAAAAAGATAAGGGGATTTGTCTAGGGATCTATGGATGGGAAGAGAAAGCATCACCTTGTGTCTTGAGAGAGGATCTATATGCCTAAGAAGCTAGGAGGGCTAGGCCTTAGGTCTGCTCGTTGTTTGAATAAGGCATATATGATCAAGTTGGCTTGGCAAATGCTTAACAATGAAAATGATCTTTGGGTCCAGGTGCTACAGGGGAAGTATTACAAGCAGAAGAATTGAGACATCATCTCTATGAAGAAGACGAACTATTCTAGCCTCTGGAAAGGAATTGTGAAAGCAATGCCCCTGATGAAAGAAGCTTCTTGCTGGAGCATTCAGAATGGTGAATCAACAAGTTTCTGGAGACACCCCTGGATCATGGGCTACTCCTTGAAGACTTTCTTACCAAGGATATCACTGAAGAGGAAAAAGAGTCTCTAGTGGCCAACTGGATTGCTCAAGAGGGTGAGTGGGATTGGAAGAGATTAAAAGACCTTTGACACGCCAAAACACAACACCAATCTGCGACCAAGTGCAATCGCAGACCGGGAATGCAGTAACAGGCAAGTTATATTATCAACCCGGGGTCTAGATCTACTGCTTACTCAGTGATTCTCTGTTATCTAGCCAACTAGAGTAAGTGATTGTTGTTTAAACTAAAAGCAGAAATAAAGCAGGAAATTATTCGGTTTTCTTAAGCAGGAAAGAGTCACTCGGGAATGAATCCCCCTAGCTCCTTAGTTAGGTTCAATTGCAATTCCCTGGGTTGATTTACTGTTGATTAGACTGCGGAAGATCCGGCAGTAGCTTGGAATCTCTTAAGCTGACCAAGCCCTCTCAGTCTAACTACCCGGCAGACGACTAGTCTTCACCGGGATAGAAAGCTGAGGCTATGAACACAGAACTCCACTACTGGCGCCAAGAACACCAGTACAAAGCAGTAAACTGGCTAACTCTCGTATAGCCAACCTCCTACTATCGAATGAAGAGGCTCTAACAACCTAATCAGATTCTATCTATCTCAGGTTGAAGCAGAAATTGAGACAAGCTGATCAGACTCAAATCAATTCATGAAACATGCATCATTCGATTAAAATCAAACAGTAGTATCATCCCAAGTCATTACAATCAATCCCTAACACATAGAACTAGGGTTCTTCATCCCCAAGTGAGAGAAGGGTTCTACTCCATAGAGAGAGAAGAGAAAACAAGAATCGGATTAGTCATACTCATAACGATGAGGATAATCTGCTCCGGGACGATGATTTTCACTCCTATGACGATCTCCAGGCTCGATTCGATGAAATCCAGCTCTAAGACAGCTTCTAGGATGTGTTCTTCGTACTTTCTCTCTCTAGGGCTCTGTTTTTGCTCTGAAAACACTGTCCTCCCACTTCTGGCTCGGATTAGGCTTTAAAACCGGGTTTCCCGAGTTGCACGGCCAGGGTGCACGGCCGTGCACCTCACCAGTCTGGCCGTGCACCATGAAACGCAGCGTATCCCTTAATTGAACTCAGGCTTCTTGCACGGCCAGGTGCACGGCCGTGCAATCTTCAGGGCCTGCCCGTGCAGCTCCTCGGCATGAGGCGCACGGCCAGATTGCAACCGTGCACGGCCGTGCAGCCCCTCTGGTCTGCCCGTGCAGCTCCCAAAAACCTCGCCATTCGTCTGTTCTTCGTCCAATTGACCCCAGAATCGCTCCTAAGCCTTCATTCACGTACTAGGACCTGAAATATGACAAACAAGCACAACCTAGCGTGAAATCGGCCTAAAACACGAGAAATCACATCTCAAACGGTGTAAGAACAGGGGTAAAAACATGTGTAAATAACGGTCTATCAAACTCCCCCACACTTAACCGTTTGCTTGTCCCCAAGCAAACCAAGTCAGACACTAGGTAAGCTTACATATTTCAATCAACCAACATTGGGGACAAGTCATAAAGGCACAGAACACGTGAATCGCACTGGTTTTCAAACATCAATACATGCACAACCTCAACAACAACCTGGACAACCACCACAAAGGACATTCGAGTGCAGCAAATCGAGTAAAGGAAGAGTCTCCCGTCTGTTCACTGGCCAACCTAGACTTGATTCAACCACTTACTCAAAACAGTCAACTCATGCATCCAACTCAAGACATCAGAATAGAGACCGAGCAATCTAGGTCCTCACCGGGGTACAAGAGCATATAGAAAATGAAAATGAATCACTCACTCTCGACCAGTGGGGTCAGGACAATTTGATGCGAAAGATGCGCATGCTATTTCTCTCAATCCCTATCATCTCTTCACCATGATGGCAGCCTCTAAATGCTAGAGTTCACATATGGGGTGTCACCACTAACTAATCAGGAGGTCTTAGACACAGGTTCAAATGACTGGCTAGGGTCTTGGACATGGGGAAAAGGCCTTTTAGGTGGTGGAAGTATTCATAGCAAAAGGTTCCACATTTCCCGAACACACAAACACAGTCAGCAACCCGGTATTTTCTTTCTGCTATCCTGCATTACTCAATATCTTAAGAGCACAAGAGCGAAGGAGGCATAAACATCAGCATTTCCAAGCCAGACTGCTAAGAAACACTACTTACTGGGCATTATTCAGATTTTTTGTAGTGGCTCTCTTTTACTTTCAATTTCTCTTTGTTTCTCTTTCATTTTCTTTTCATTTCTTAAGAGAGCCACCACTCCTGCACATATTTCAAACATCCGCCCAACTTTTAAGCACTACCTCCAACACTCACATAGACTTTAGCAGAAACAGCAGAGAATATATGAAAACCACTCTGTGGAACCTTCTAAAAGATGCAACAAGGGTGATTTCTTTTCATTATAGACCAAAAGAAAGGATAACACACGGCTCAAATGGGCTGACTAGGGGATATGACACATCAGGACAGTCAGTTTTGGGCGTGGGCTAATCCTATGCCCCCATCATCTCAGCTAGTGACAACGTGAATGCTACACATCATGGAAGAGGGATCTATCGCACAAGAAAGAAACGAGCAGGCTCAAATCTCACATGGCTACCTATATGCTCTATCTCATATTCTGCTACCCTGAACTAGATGCATAAACGACTGTTAAGAACAAGTAATCAGATCAAGTCAGATCAAGTCACAGTTGGCAAGCAAACAGTTGAAAAAC